TTCCTCCATCTGCTGGCTGCCTATTAGGCTCAGTCACTGGAAGAGCCAGTGGGACTTGAGTTTTATGAAGTAGGTTCACAGTGAGTCACAAAATAGAAGTGAGTGGCTGTCCCATCAGTGGGAGGTTTTGGTCTGGTTTCAGAGAAGGTGGGGTTTGTGGTTCCTACCCCAGAGCTACCCCACTCAGTCTGTCCTGGATTTTGCACAGCCTCTGTGAGGGTGGAGCCAGTAGGAGTCAGGTGGGTGGGGCCTCTAGAGACTGGAGGGTGGGTCTTCCAGGAAGCCTGGAGGATATTTCTATTGGATCTCCCATAAGAAGGAAGAACTAGTCAGATTCATGGGAAAGGAGGGGAATGGATCTCACCTGAAAACCACTAAACTCAGATACCTCCTCATTCTCCCCTAATGTCTACATTCTGGCCAAGGCAACTGACTCCTCAGCAGGGTGTAAACTTCATAAGGTAGGGTAAAAGGTAGTCCAGATAGTGGGTCTATTGTATTCTTATAGGCTAATGCCACACAGAGGGGAGTGCTCCCCTGGGGGAAAATGGCATCTGTTGTATGGAAGAATGATTCAGCACAGGGATCCTAGCAGCTGTCCCCCAAGCTCCTTCACCAAAACCACAAACACCAGACTCTTCACAGAACTCTAGTCCTCTCCACCTTCCCTTTGCCAGAGTCCAGGGTGGATGACTTGCAAACAAAATCTTATGCATTGGCTTTTTAAGAGGGGTCTCTAGCAGACATCTCTCTCTCCCTGATGGACCAAAACCCTGTAGTTTTTCACAACCAGATATTATATGGACAAATTTTCCTGGTTCTGGTCCTCTGGGCTGGGGAGCCTAGCTTAAAGTTTAAACCCCACACTTCTCAGGAGGAACCCCCTGCAGCTGAGATATTCCCCTAGAACCTCAGCCACAATGAGAGTGAGCCCAGTCCTTTTTGTGTCTCTGCCCTTCCTACAATCTCAATTTGGTTTCTTCTGTAAATCCTTGCTTATAAGATTTCTCTTCAGCTGGTCTTCAGTTTGTGATTCAGGATGATTGCACTATAATCTAGTTGTAATTTCAGTTTGGTCCTGAAAGGAGGTGGGTGTAGCTTCTACCTAATCTGCTGCCATCTTGGGTTATCCCACTCACATTATTTTAAGTATTTGCACAATATGGGTTGGATAGAATTAGAAATTTCTTGGCCAATAGGTATTAACTTTATTAAGCAATATTATAGTCTTTTCCTTTTTTAGGATAATTTTCATTACATTAATTCCTTGGAATGATAAAATAAGGTAAAAAAGTATGAACATATTATCTTTCTAAGCGTTGTTCCTTTGCTTCTGTTAGAAATTGTACTCTCATTAGCACTAACTGCTAAGGTAAATTTAGTGAGCAATCTAGGGAACAATGATTTTCAATTGTAAATGGCTCTAGATAGGTCTGTTTTGAGGCATACTAGTAATTATTCACATAAAGCAATAGAAACATTTGGATTTAGCTGGATTTGTTACCGGTATTAATATGCTTTTAGTACCTGAATGTGTATGATCTATTTACATAGCAGTAGAAGGGCACATGTTATTGAATTGGGAATAAACACTATCTGGGCAGGTGGCGATGAAGAATGAAGTGGGCTGCTTAGATGCATATTGCTCCTCTGCTATGGGAGAAGTTGTTAAAGAAGTTACACATCCTTACAAAGATGTCCCCATGTCTGGAAGAGAGCTGGAATCATTTTGAATTGAGGTGGTTGGGTTCAATTCTCCCATTAGTCATGGCTATTTGAATGTAATTAAAGATCAGTTTCTTTCTTTCCTGGATCTCAAACTTCTCAGTCTCCAAAGTGCTTCTGCTCTGCTTCTCTTCAAGTGTTTCCAGAGGAGACAGCCTGAGGGAGAGGAAGTGGTGCTAATTAAATCCTCCCTCTGTTTTCCAGGCACAGAAGTCTTGAGCAGATGTCTGTTGTTAGGAGCTTGTTCACAGAGTGCAGCAAATACAGAAGCAGGCTTTCCTTCCCCAACGGCACAAACTTTCCTCCACAGGGAACTCTAGAAATGCACTTCCTTCCAACACCTACTCTGGCAGAGGTGGCAGACCCGCATAATAGAGCCTGTAACTGCCAGGGAGGCCAATGTCTCACTAACTCTCTCTCTCTCTCTCTCTCTCTCTCTCTCTCACACAAACACACACACACACACACACACACACACACACACACACACACACACGCACATGCGCACTAATTTTTTTTTCTGCTTCTTCCTGTGTGTTTTGTATGTCCCAAAAGCCAATTTCTCTTTGTCTTTTGTATGCCCCACTTAAAAAAAATACTTGAAAATCCCCTTCTGATGTAAAAATAATGTGTATCATGGTGGGCTCGCTGAAATCAAAACATGTTTGGGAGTCCTGGGTGGGAGTGTAAGTGCTGACACAATTTTATAAGTGTTTTTCTGAAATGATCCAACTCTGTGCTTTTCACATGGAGATGAAATCATCCTCCAATGTCTGCTGGGTGGATCAGGTGAAGTAACCTGTAATGTGATCTGCAGAGAGCTTTTCATTCATGAGTTCTGTGTTTTCTCCTACATTCAAACCCTCTCAGGATGACTTTATGTCCACATTTGCCTAAGATAATCCCAGATACTCCCATCATCCTGGCATAATTGTTAATAGCATACTTTCACCTTCAAAAGTGTCCAGGTTTAGACAACAAATGATATGTTCGTAGTATTTTTACCTCTTTTGAATACTCTAATTAATCCCTATTTCAAGAATGTAAAGTTGCTGGGAATAGGGGCTGCTTCTCACTTTCTGGTATTTCACAAGAACTGAGGAAAATAAGTTTGTCTGACTAAACACTGTGGCAGCCCTGAGGATAAGATGGCACTCCTGGTTATATGGTGAAGCAGAGTGTAAGACCCTCCCATATGGCATGTGCCTTTTGTTTTGTGTTGTGCTGCTTTTTTATTTACAAAATAGAAATAAATTTATTGTGTTTTTATTTATATAAGACATTATACAGGAGTGGACAAAAATAGGTTTACAGTTTATTTTTGTATTTTTAACTATTAATTAGAGGCCTGGTGCACAAAATGTGTGCACTGGGGGTGGGGAGGGTGTCTCTCAGCCCAGCTTGTACCTCTCCAATCCCTGTGGACAGTCAGGGGATGTCTGACTGTCCCACAGGGATTGGGCCTAAACTGGCAGTTGGACACCCCTCTCACAATACAGGACTGCTGGCTCCCAACCATTTGCCTGCCAGCCTGCCTGATTGACCCTGACCACTTCTGCCTGCCAGCCTGATTGATGCCTAACTGGTACCCTGTCTTCCTGATTGTCCCCAACTTTCCTTCTCTGTTGGCCCAATAGCTCCCAACTGTCCTCCCTACTGGACTGGTTGCTCGTAACTGCCCTCCTCTACAGTCCTGATCTCCCCCAACTGCCATACCCTGCAGGCCTAGTTGCCCCTGACTGCCCTTTCCTGACAACCTGGTCACCCATAACTGCCCTCCATGGCAGCCAGGTCTATCCTACCTGCCCTCTCCCTACAGGTCCCCCCTAATTGCCCTCCCCTGCTAACCTCAACTGCCCTCCCCTGCCAGCCATCTTGTGGTGACCATCTTGGACCACATGGGTGTAGTCATCTTGTGTGAGGGCATGACAGTCAATTTGCATATTACCTCTTTATTATATAGGATTGTTATATTATTTATCTGTATTTATTTGCCTTTTTCATATGAACAACTATAAACCTGCTTTTGCTCATTCCTGAAAAATTATTTTAAGCACATAGAGACTTCTCAAAACAAAAAATAAAAATTAATGCCTTATCATCCAGAGATAATCATTATTAATGTTCAATTTTTACAACCTTTTAAGCTTTTTCCAGCCCCTCTCATATAATACATGCATATACATAAACCCAAGTATTCTTTTATTCTTATTTTCTCTTTCTTTCTAATTATTTTACCAATTTGAATAACATTATTCATAATATTTTATAACCTATTTTTGCATTTACAATCCATTTTGAACATCTTTCCATGATAAAAATATATACTTACACTTTCAGTGAATACATTATATTTCATTGCATGTTATAACATATTTTATTTAGCAAATTTCTGATAGTTTTTAGTTTCTTTTTAGTATTAGATAAAATGTTGTGTGAGTATATGGTATTGCTATTATATCCAGTGTTTTGCTGCTAGACCTAAAGTTGTATATTTTTCTACTATTAGACATAATAGATATTGTGACAAACAACTTTCCATATTTATGGCTTTGAGCATTTATCTAAATTATTTTCTTAGTATTCATTTTTTAAATTGCAATGTTTCAGCTAAAAAATGTGCTCAGTTTTAAGTGTTTGTATGCCTTATTGCTACCCAAAAATCACACACAAAAAAGTTGCATTAGCATTGTCTTTAACTCTTAAATAAACTTGCAGGCTGGTGGATTGTTTGGTAAAAATGCTATAAAGTCTTGAACAAAGATGTTTGATAATTATTTTACACACCTCTTCCCTTATTTAGATGTCTATATGGGGAGATTAAAGATGAAAAACAAAAGTACTTGCAACCTCCATTTCCTTCTTTAATTTTTTTAAATTGATATCAGAGAGGAAGGCAGAGGAAGAGAGAGTTGGGAACATCAATGATGAGAGCAAATAATTGATTAGCTATCTCCTGCACATCCCACATTGGGGATAAAGCCCAGGCATGTGCCTTGACTGGGAATTGAGCTGAGACCTTCTGGTTTAACTGCTGAGCAACACTAGCTGGGCACAACCTCCATTTCTCTGTCAAGAGAATAATTCTCCAGAATTGTGGAGTCTGAGTCTTCGAATTTTATTGATCAATGCCTCTGTTTAGTTAATGTGTGTGTGGGTGGAGGTAGGGAAAGGGGAATTGTCAGTTTCAGGAATATCATATGCTCATGTACTTAGTTGACTTTTTTTTTTTATTATTGACAAGATTGTTTCTTTCTTTATTTTAAACTAAAGAAATGTCCACAATTGGGAGTTTTGAAGGATTTCAACCTATATCTCTGAAACAAGAGGGAGATGACCAACCCTCAGAGACTGATCGACTGTCCATGGAGGAGGGAGATCCAGGCAAGGACCCAGTACCAACGCATATTTCAAAGCAGCAAAGTGTAACCGAGTCAACATTGTACCCTAATCCTTATCACAAGGCTAATGTCTCCCGGAAGTACTTCGTTACACGGGTAAAGTCATTGGTACTTTTAAATGCTACAAAAGCTTCTTTAAAAAATCCTAATGTCTTTCTGTATACCACGTATTTTACCAAGTATTTTCATATTTGTTATCTCATCTACAAAATGTAAAAGAGCCCAACTGGCATGGCTCAGTGGTTGAGCATCAGTCTATGAACAAAGAGGTCTTGAGTTTGATTCCCAGTCAGGGCACATGCCAAGGTTGCAGGCTTGATCCCCAGTAGGGGGTGTGCAGAAGGTAGCCAATCAATTGATGTTTCTATCATTTTCTCCCTCTTTAAAATCAATAAAAATATATTAAAAATAAATAAATAAAATAAAAATTGTGAAGAAGATACCTTTTGTTTTTTAGACTTTGCAAAATAATTTTATTGTAATAGTTATTACAACATCTCAATAGAATTCATTCTTCTCCTTCTAATTCACAGATGGCTAGTTGTTTACTCTGTAAATCACTGGTACCTATTTTATGAGGTTTGAGAAGGAGATATCTTAATTCCCATTTTTTCAGATGAAGGATCTGAATTTCAAATAAATTAAGAGAGTTTATTTTTGATCAACAGGTAGGACCAAGGAAAAGCAGGTCTTCCATTCTCCATGGACCTTTCCCTCCTTAGTCTTATGTTTATGCTTAACCTGACCTCAAGGAATTATTTCTTACAGAGAGAGAGCCGGAGCAGCTGGAATTTAAAGCTGTGAGTCCAGAGTAAATATTTGTTATATTCTATAAACATTGGTGGCAGAATGGAGTATATTCTTAACTTCAAGGGTCTACATGGAGGTGCTACAGTGTGGGAGCAGGAACTTTTATTTTTATTTTATTTTATTTTTAAATATATTTTATTGATTTTTTTTTTTTTTTACAAAGAGGAAGAGAGAGGGACAGAGAGTTAGAAACATTGATGAGAGAGAATCATTGATCAGCTGTCTCTTGCACACCCCCCACTGGGGATGTGCCCACAACAAAGGTACATGCCCTTGACCGGAATCAAACCCAGGACCTTTCAGTCCGCAGTCCAATGCTGTATCCACTGAGCCAAACAGGTTTTGGCTGGAGCAGGAACTTTTAAATCTTAACCCTATTGCTGCAGTCTGGAGCTGAGCTCTCATTCCTATGCATTGGAGTTGGGAAAGTAAATGGATGAGTGTGTAATGAGAATGGGGTTTGTATACACAGGTGATAAAAATGATATTTTAAACTTCTAGCATTTGAATCAATAGAGATTATGTCATTGGTTTCTGGCACTTATCTCTGTTTTGAATTCTCCTTTCTACTTAGAGATCTTTTCTGATTTTTTTTTTTTTAACATTCTTGTCAACACAGTCTTGGATAGCTCATAGGCTACAGAAATTGGTGTCAAAATTAGGGACTGTATACTGTGGCAAAAGAGACCATCTCATTTTTTAAGTGTACATGGAGACTCTCATCAGCTTGGATAACCTTTTCCTTCTATGGTAGTTTCTGCTATTATTGCTCATCCATGTCTAAAAAAAAAGGCCTCAAGGCTAACAAAGACTAATAACTCAAGATATATTATGATAATCACTTTATTGTGGTGATATATTCAAAGGCAACTTCTTATGAAAGAAACAATACTTGACCCACTTGAGGAAAGATATTTTTAAACTCCCTGTAAAATTCTATATTTGCAGATATCTTATCAGAATGTTGAAGTGCTTAGGGATGGGAAATTATCTCTAAATTTATACTTAGAATGTAAATTAAATATAAACTACTGGGACTAAAACTATTTGATCTTTTAATATTTAATTAATGGTTCCTCATGGCCTTTTTATAGCCTGTGTTCTATTGTAAGCAAGGAGACTTTAATAAGCAGGTTTAGGACTTCCCATTGTGTAGCAAGATGTCATTGCTTTCATGATACTAATTTGGCTTTCATACTCTCTCTTTCCTTCTCCTCTTACTATAGGGTTTCCCATGTCTTGCTCTTGCATTGGGAAAAGCTAAATATATTAGTTGTATTCTTATTGTCTGTGTTAGCTTTTTTTCTGTTCTGGAAATTATATATATCACTGGGAAAAAGGTTTCTCAACTCGCTTCCTTACAATAAAATCCCTTGAAGATTATAATAAAGATGATGTTTCTAAGAGCAGATACTTCACAGTAATAAAATAAGATGTATTTCCTTCATTTTCAGGAAAAAAACATATTTTCTCTGACTTTACAAACCATATTACAATTTAGAGATGGGTTTCTTGTCTTATATATTTACCAAAAAGCAATCCTATCTGGACATGATGACATAATGACTGCCATAAGACAAATATTCTTGTATCTGTCTCTAGGAGCATTCCCTTCTATTCCTTCTTCTCTCTATCTAGTTAAAGAGTTGAGTACATGGGGAAAATTTATCAGCAGACATGAGTATTGTTTGTGTGACAACTGACCCCAGGCTAGTCCAGATCAAGAAAAAGTAAGGACACAAAATACATAAATCTTTGAAATTCTCTTAGTAGATTTGTTTTGACTGGAGATATTAGTTCTAGACTATTGGAAAAGATATTGTCCATCATGCTATTTGTGACTTAAAAATAAGAATCCCCTCCAGTGAATTGTTTGTTAAAGTTTGTAATTATAATTATATTTGAATTGCCTTGATAAGATTTCTTTCACCAGATGATGAGGAAGTATTATTTTGTCATTGTTTTCTATTAAGCAATAAGGAATCTCAGAGTGACTTGTTCTATTGTAGTAACCATTTAATCCCCATATCCTTATATAACTATTTACATTCTACTTATATTATTAATAAGTATGGTAATAAAGTCTTATTCAGTTACCAGATTACCAAATGTTCTTGGCCTCTCCCAACAGCTCTGTTATAAGTAATATTATTCACTCAACAAATGAGTAAACTGATATATAGAATGACAAAATGACTTGATAGGGGTCTCATAGCAAGTGGAAAGGCTGAAATTTATACCATGTCCTCAACAAAAGTCACAGTGTGGACACATTTTTATTTCATTTCCAACACTAAGTGACTGAAGTTTATTATAGTACCAACTAGAGGCTTGGTGTACAAAATCAGTGCACTGGGGGTACCCTCAGGCCAGCCTGTGCCCTCTTGCAATTAGGGACCCCCTCAGGGGATATCCAATTGCCAGTTTAGCCCCCCCTCCCAAAGGGTCCTGAATTGTGAGAGGGATATAGCAGTGCACCAAGCTGTAGGCAGCAGGGGAAGAGCCAGTACTGGGGCCAGATGCCATGCTGCTCATGTTCATACTGGCCCACTGTGCCTACTGCTACCACTCAGTAGTGCTCCTTTGGAGCCAAGTATGTGAAGCTCACTACCTTTACCCCTACTTATCTGAGGCAGTTCCATTCTGTTCCCATTTGTCATATATGGATTCTTACATAAAAATTTTTCTTGACCAATGGATTCTGTGACCAAAATGTTGGAAAGCCTTTTATCATAGACCGAGAAGACACACAAAAACAAAATCCTACCACCACCCCATCTCTGGGAGGAAACGATATTTGAATGGTTCATAGCCAGGCCGGTGTTCTGTTTTCTTTTGTGAGAGAAGGGCCTCAGGCTGGGAATATTAGGAATGTTAATACATAAACAAAATAAGGCATTAAAGCCATATTATATAGAGAATATATGAAATTTTCAAGCTACTTATCAGTAGCCCAGACTTGGGAATGAGGTCAGTCAGTACTACCTTTAGGCCCAGAAATTAAAGGTGTGGGTTTCTTATATCTGCTACTGCCTAGCTGAGTGAACTTGACAAGTTACTTCCCTGCACTGGACCCTGTTTCTACACCTAAAAAACAAAATGGTTTTAAACTAAATAAGCCCAAAACTATAGTCATTCTCAACCTTGGCTACGCATTGGAGTCATCTGGGATGCTTTAAAAAAAAATACTGATATACTGATATGTGAGTCCCATTCACTGAGTGTCTGATATAATTGTCTTAATGTACAACATGGGCAGTAGGATTTTTCAAAGCTTCCTTGTGGTGTTTATTTATTTATTTATTTCTGATGTGCATCCTAGGTTTAGAATAACTGTCTAGAGATCAATGACTTTCATAGTAGTGTCTCACATCAACTGTATCACCTGGGAACTTGACAAAAATGCCAGATACCAAGCCCACTTCAGAGCCAATGAATCAGAAACCCCGGGGACAGTGCCCAGGCATCTGTGTTTTAAAACATATTTCACATAGTTCCGATGTGCACTGCTGTTTAAAAAATCACTGAGCTGGAGGCTCTACACATTTCCAATTAGGACAAGAATTCATCAATTTCCAAGTTAGAGGTAGGTGCATAGGTAGGAACACCTGCTTGGAGAAGGGTGAAGAATGTGATGTAAGCTGAGACCAGTTTGGCTCAGTGGTAGAGCATCGGTATGCGGACTGAAAGGTCCCAGGTTCGATTCCAGTCAAGGGCATGTACCTTGGTTGTGGGCACATCCCCAGTAGGGGGTGTGCAAGAGGTAGCTGGTAGATGTTTCTCTCTCATTGACGTTTCTAGCTCTCTAGCTCTCTCCCTTCCACTCTGTAAAAAATCAATAAAATATATTAAAAAATAAAAGAATGTGATGTAAGGAGACAAAAGAGTTGATTTCCTAGAGACATAAAATTATGGTCAGAATTTTGAAAGGTTTCTCTCTGGTATTTTATTGCCATGTGCTCTTTGAAGAGACAAAGGTTTGATTTAAAAAATGCATACATTACTAAATGCTTTGAACTTCCTGATAAATATATTTGTTCAGAAAAAACTGGTCCTCTAAAAATGGCTGTCTTTTTCTATGAGAAAGTGTGAGTAAGGTTATGGAAGATGGGAATTGAATCGCTTTGATCTCACCCAAGGAAAGCAGCTTAGTAAGTATAGAGTTCAAGGCTAAGCTTTCCAGCAGCAAGTGCCTAGAGCAAATGGGAAAATATAAAAAATATCTTTCCTGCTCAGCTTTTTGTAGAAGATGTAGAAACATAGTAACTAATCACAATCACAAAGAGGATTCAGTCTTCTCTAAAATAGGTATTTTCTTTTTCCCACTCAGCCGGGGACCATTGAGACTGCCATGGAAGACTTGAAAGGCCACATAGCCAAGACTTCTGGAGAGAAAATTCAAGGCTTCTGGCTCTTAACAGAGTGAGTAGTGATGACTCAGTGAAGGAAAGTGGAAATCTAGCATTTTCCTTGACACCTTTGTAACAGAATAGGAGATGGATCTGTGGAAAAATTTCTTCTGGTTGTCATGCAAGATAATTGACATATCCACTTAGAAAGTAAAGTTATATAGTGCCACATGGATGATGGTATGACAACCTTGGCTCATCACTTCACTCAGCCATCACTATAGCTACCTTAGGTCAGGCTATCATAATTGATCTCAAGGACTATTGCACTTGCTTCCTAACTGATCTCTCTGGTTCCAATCTCTGGCTCTTATAGGCAATCTCTCTTCAACTACCTGAAGCTGCTAACCATCCCACTCAGGGTAGAATATAAAGGAAGATTAGAAAAGAGGATAAATGAAGTCAACATATACAGTTTGAATTTTATCTTGTGTACAATAATATCAGCAGAAAAACAGGGAAATCATGCTGAATAGAAAAGATAAGACACCTGTCCAATTAAGATTTAAAAAAACAACATCTAAGGTTGCCCCAGTGGGTTTAGCTCAGTGGATAGAGTGACAGCCTGCAGACCAAAGAGTCCCAGGTTTGATTCTGATCAAGGGCACATGCCTGGGTTTTGGGCTTGATCCTCAGTAGGGGTCATGTAAGAGGCAGTCAATCAATGATTCTCTCTTATCATTGACGTTTTTATCTCTCTCTCCTTCTCCCTTCCTGTCTGAAATCAATCCTATATAATAAAAAGGTAATATGCAAATTTACCATCACTCCAATACACAAGATGGCCACCCCCATGTAGACAAAGATGGCTACCTCCATGTGGACGTAAGATGGCTATAACAAGATGGCTGGCAGGGGAGGGCAGTTGTGGGCAATCAGACCAGCAGGGGAAGGCAGTTGGGAGGGACCCAGGCCTGCAGGGGAGGGCAGTTGGGGAGAATAGACCTGCAGGGGAAGGCAGTTGGGAGAGCCAAGGCCTGCAGGTGAGGGCAGTTGGTGGTGACAAGGTCTATAGGGGAAGGAAGTTGGGGAGTAGGGGACCAGATTTGCAGGGAAAGGCAGTTGGTGTGAACAGTTAGGAATGACCAAGCCTACAGGAGAGGGCAGTTGGTAGTGACCAGGAATGCAGTGGAGGGCAGTTAGGGGTGACTGCTGAAAGGAGAGGGCAGTTAGGGGCAACCAGGCCTGCAGGGGAGGGCAGTTGGGGGTGACAAGGTCTGCAGGAGAGGGCAGTTAGGGGTGACAGGCCTGCAGGGGAGGTCAATTGAGAGTGACCAGGTTGGCAGGGGAGGTCATTTTGGGATGACCAGGCTGGCAGGGGAGGGCAGTTAGGGGAAACCAGGTATGCAGGAGAGGGTTGTTGGGGAGCGGGGAAGTCAGGCCTGCAGGGGAGGACAGTTGGGAAAAACCAGGCCTGAAGGAGAGAGCAGTTCTGGATGACCAAGCCAGCAGAGGAGGGCAGTTAGGGGCAATCAGCTTGGCAACATGCAGTTAGCTGTCGATCAGGCTGGCAGGGGAGTGATTAAGGGGTAATCAGGCTGGCAGGAGAGTGGTTAGGGGGTAATTAGGCTGGCAAGCAGAAGCAGTTAGGGACAGGCAGGCAGGCAGGCCTGTGAGCAGTTGTGAGCCAGCAGTTCTGGATTGTGAGAGGGATGTCCAATGGGCCTAAATGTGCAGTCGGACATCCCTCAAGGGGTCCCAGATTAGAGGGATTACATGCTGGGCTGAAAGGCACCCCTCTAAGCATGAATTTCATGCACGGGGCCTCTAGTAAAAATATATTAAAACAAAGCAAAAAACTAAGGTTAAAACTTAAGTCTCTATAACTTTAATAACTGCTACATTTGCTCCCAAATCTAGTGATGTCAAATTGGCAGGTTGAAATTAAACCTTGTGGCAGTGATTACACAATGGGAATCAGAAAATTCCAGAAATCAGAGCTTGATTTATTTATGTATTTTTGATTGTCTAAACTTAAGAGAGTAATGAGGATATGTTAAGAATGCAGATTACATTTTCAAGTGTGTCATGTCTGTGGCTATGATACTATAGCAGCACAAAAAATATTAAGGAAATATTCCACCACCATTCAAAAATAATTACCAACTATTATCCAATTCAGAAAACAAACAAACAAACAAACAAACAAACAAACAAACAAAAAACACACCTTTTTCATTGATGCATGGAGGAAGACTGGACAGGTGGCTGAGAAAAGTAGAGTCCAAGCAGAGGTAGAAAGGTTGTAGAGGGGCAGTAGTGTGGGCCCTTGGCTGGGGCAGAAGCTATTGACTGTGGACACCCCACCCAAACTGGAAATAACAAAAGTCTCTTCTTTCTTCTCCATTTGTCTGGTACTCTTTACTAAAAAAAGTATGACATGGTTCACTCTTTAAAGGAAACATGCTTAAAAGAATTATGTGGTTTATCACAGAGCATGTACTAATGGATACATTTAGAACTGAGAGGCAATAGCTGATAACTGACATAGCTGGGCTTGGTGGATCTTTGAATTTAATCATACAGGAAGAAGGAATTCAGGGCAACTCTGGGCTTTGTCCTAGGGAATTTATGGGTTTACTGGGTCACCATTCCTAGGTGTAGAATAAAATAATTCTACTTTATTGAAAAACTGCCATATGCCAAACATTATAAAAGGAACTTGATGTACACAATTTCATTTTATCTTGCCAATAATTTTGTCACTCACTTTTTACAGAACTTGTTAAGTACGATTTTGGGGAAAATGTGTCTGTGGTATCCATTAGAACATCCACAGAGATGTTGAATAGATTGTATTAGATATGGGTCCAGATACTATCTTCATAAGTAACTTTTCATAAGGGAGATTAATCCTGACATGTTTGCTTCCTATAGTCTTGCCTTTTATAGAAGCTTAAATAACATTAAACCAGCAAAGACTTTTTTTTTTTCATGGAATGGCATGTGAATTAGTTCAGTTGAGCTCCTTTGTTATGGTCTAAATTGATCGGATATATTATTCAGTAAAGTTAGAAAAATGAGTTTGAACGCACTTGGTCAGAGGACCTGGAAAATATGACTAGAGAGGCCAAAAAGAGAAAGATTCAACCATTAATGGAAGCTGAGTCCCACATAGCTGAAAACATTAAAAATACCCTAAAGAGACCCAGTGTAGACCCAGGCCTCCATTTCAGCTTATTCAGAAGCTTTATTTGTCTCAACAGCTATAAACACAGGATTGTGTTTATCTCAATTTTGTCTCTTCTCACTGTCTTGCTTTCCTGACCCTTTTGGGAAAGGACTTTTTTAAAAACAATTGTATGTATCCTTTTAGAAGCAATCCATTAAGCCAGAACCAAGGAGAACATCTTGACACTCTATGGAGCCTCAAAAAAAGTGTGCTATGATGACAATGAAGTGTCTCCTTAGTGGAATGTACTCAAAATGTCCTTGCTAATAGTGGTTAAGAGGGTAGGTAGAGATGGATCTTCCCTCCATACATGTTAATGGCGGGGGGGGGGGGGGGGTGTTGTATTTATTCCTCTTATTCATAAACAGGAAGACTTGCCTCTAGTGTCTGTGATCAGGTTAACTCCAACTGTTCATCTTTGTGGAAAATACAACATGCTTCATTGCCTACCTTCCTCTAAACCCACCAATATTTCTATCTGAGGACTTTGGTATAATAACTACATGAAATTGAATTAAGTATCTACATTAAGCATATAGACAGTAAATAAAAGTGAAGTCAATGAAGCAGCCTGATATCATACAAGAATCCTGAGTTTGGAATCAGGAAACTTGGATTTGAAGTCTTGCCCACCTCCTTACCAGCAGTGCAATTGCGTGAACTTGAGTAGGCTTTGTCTTTTTTTTTATTAATGATTTTTTTTTAGAAATTAACTATTCTTTAGAAAAGTAAACCCTCTGATAATTTTTGCTAAATCTTTTTGTAGATTTTCTTTATGCACTTTGACAGAGATCGTTATAATATAATAGATAACATTTATTGAGCACTTAAATTGTACCAAGTATTGGGATAAGTGCCTTCTGTGCATTTGCCATTATATTAGTTTAATACAAATAAATGTGATTATCTCTAAATAGCACTTCTTTCAGGTTTTTCCTTGTATTGTTCCTGGTTATCATGTAGTTTTTGTAAAGTGAGTCAATCATTCGCATATTATTGGACAATTATTTCCTCAATTGTCAATGGCTACACACATTTAAGGGTATATGTTATTCTTTTAAACTTGAAGCACAAAGTAAGAGTTATTTTCAAGTGGCATAGAGTCAATCTTTATGATTAGAAAGAGAAATAAAAATATATAAGGCACTGATAATTTATTTTTGAGAAACAAATCATGTTTCTATTTAGATAGTTTAAAAAGTGCTCGTCTTCATTCAAGTCCATCTTCATAGCAATCATCTGAGGTAGGAAGTGTTACCTACAGTTTACACTGAAGAAATCAAGACCCAGAAGAATAACACAGCTCTTAAGTAGCATAAGTAAGGCTCCAGTGCATTATGCTGGCCCAGCTTTTGCTAAAATAGTCCTTTAGCGATTATGCAGATTCCATATGTGCCTCCTATTAAATTGTGGTGTGTGGTTCCTCTGACAGATACATGTTGGAGCTCAGAATTCTGTTTCTTTGGCTTGGGGTAAGGAGCAGTATGCTGAGCATCTCTGCTTAATTTATAAGGATCCCCCCAGAAACAGTTTTATCTTAGATGTTTAACTAAAAAGAAAAGCATCCTGGGACACAAAGGAACATTGAGGAACAGGTGACTGTGAACTATTTTCCAGGTATGGGGAGAGGCCTCTTTGTAGTACACTGATCCCCAAAGCAGCACTGCATATGATTGCTTTCACACCTGCTCTCACATATGATCCTTAGAAAGACCCACAGGAGATGGCAAGGGGAAATTATTGGCTTCATTTTATGGATGAAGAAACTCAGAGATGAAATGACCTGTGTAAGGGCAACCACTTATTAAGGGTCACAGGAGGGCTTGACTCCTGTGACCTAC